TATATATAAGTGATGGATTTCTATTTATTCATTTGATGGATTTTATTACTTAAAAGTTATTTTTAGGAGACGCTCTGTTTGTTTATTAAACACTATTTATTTATTAACGTCTACCTGTCGAAATAATCCAGAATTTTTTTTTTTTTAAATAAGATATGCGGTCTCCGACAGGATACGAACCTGCGTCCCCCTCTCCAGGGAAACATTCGATAGATCAGTCTCGGCCACAAAGTGCGTCAATAATCATGTAAATTTAAATAGTGTCTTATGAACGCAAATCTTTCTCAGTCCATCCAAATAATCATATCTGCTCAATTACTGAAGAATTGATGTATTTTATTTAATATTCCAACATATTTTATCACTTAGTTATTTTTAGTGGATGCCCATATTTGAGTAGACGCTCCGTTTATTTATTAAACAGTATATTTATTTATTTTCATCTAACGGTCAAAATATTTGAGAGACATTATGAAAGAAAAGTATGGCGAAGAGGGCATATTTTTATTTCATAAGATTTCTCAAATATACAGTCTGGAAGATGGAAATAAATAAATATGCTGTTTAAGAAATAATTGCAATGTCTATTCAAATATGGGTATACATTAAAATAACTAAGGATAAAATATGTTGGATTATTAAAAAAAATACATCAATTCTTTTAAAAAAAAAGTTTACATAACAATAATATATTATATATATATATATATATATATATATATATATATATATATATATATATATATATATATATATATATATAGGGGGTGATCGAGCAGCGCTACATCGTGTCTAATTCGTTATCTCTTCGTCACCGAGGCCCGTCGGTATGGCGTTTGCCTCTTATCGTAAGGGTTCAGGTTTCAATTTGATGATGAGTCCCAAATATAGGACGAAAGGACTGTCTAGTTATTTCTCCATTCTGTTGAGGTTTCTTCTAGACGCGATGAATTACTTAATTATGATTATTTCAAATCTTCCTAATTATTTATATATATATATATAAATATAAAAGTGAACATAGAAGTCAACACTTAGAGGCGACAGTCTGTTTCATGCTATATGCAATCGTCAGGCCACATATGCTGTTATTTTTCTCGGCTATTTATATATATATGGGTTAGTGGTGCATTGTGGGTATTCTATTATGGCGGTTATTTTTACCGGAAGTCGCTTTGTTTATTTATTTGGGTCAAATTATATTGCCCGTTTTTATTTTTTGTTTCTTATTTTATTTATTTATTTATTAACGTAGTAAAAATCTGTTTATATCAATTTTTTAACAGTTTTGTTTTGGTTTGAGAATTTAATTAAAGCTATTTGTTCAATTTTGGAGTTGGTTGTTGTAGTTCATTCTAACTGTTATTTTTGGCGGGAACAGTTTTTAATTTGGGATTGGTTTGTCTATTTATTTACTTGGATGGATTTAGGTCAATTTATTTGTATATTTTAACTTTTCGGTTTTTAAGCAACATAGTATTTTATTTATTTGTTTTATTTTATTTTATTTTTTTTATTTTTTGTTTTTTTTTATTAGTGTATTTGTTTGTTTTTATTTTATTTTTTCCGTTTTTCATTTTTTAGGTTACGTAGTAAAAATTTATTTTCATGCCTGCATTTTGAGATGAGCTCGGATCTCTTATTTAATAATTTATTTTGGTCGGGGAAAGTAATGATAGCTATTTTTTCCTCCAAGCAAAGTTTGCAAGTTTTTGATTGGTTGTTGTAGGCTGATGACTTTTTCTTCCAAGATATTTTTGGTGTGATGTGCGTTTCGTTTTTTATTTCCCAGATATACTTAGAAAGCATAGTACTGTTCGCATATTTACTATTTGTGAACGATGTTTTGTGTGTATAATTTCTTTGCTTCCAGGGTCCTTCAGTTACTCCTATGTATAATTTTTCTTCATTATCTGGTGATTTTATCGTGGCTTGGTATATTACGTTGTTTTGTAAACAATTTCCGTTTAAGGGACATTCGTTCTTTATTCTGCAGTTGCACGTGGGTTTAATTTGTTCGTGTGGTTTGTTGATAATTTTCCTATTGTGCTTTTTTATTATTTGTGCCATAAGTGATATAAACAAATTTTTACTACGTTAATAAATAAATAAATAAAATAAGAAACAAAAAATAAAAACGAGCAATATAATTTGACCCAAATAAATAAACAAAGCGACTTCCGGTAAAAATAACCGCCATAATAGAATACCCACAATGCACCACTAAACCGTATATATATAAATAGCTGAGAAAAATAACAGCATATGTGGCCTGACGATTGCATATAGCATGAAACAGACTGTCGCCTCTAAGTGTTAACTTTTATGTTCACTTTTATATTTACACACGCTCTATCTCTGATATTGAGCACTTTATCCCATAAATATAGCACACCTTAAGACTATATTTCTTCATATATATATATATATATACAGCATGTCTCCATTCAAATATGTTTGGTTGAATAAACTGCATATATTATGAATATTTTTATTTCAATCCTCTCAAATCTTCGGATCACCTTCTTAATGTTGTTATTAAATTACTTAAAGAAGACGCCATAGTTTTTATTCATTTCGTTTTATTTTCACACGTGGGTTCAATCTTATCCAATATCATCTTTAAGGCGGAAATGCTAAGGAAAAAATGAATGCAATTACTCGTTGTGTATGTTTTTTGTTAATGTATATGAATATAATTATAAACACATATAAACGCAAGCCATTATAATCAATTTAAAAATTGTCCGATAAAGTTATTTTATCTAAGTTAGGCAAATTTAACTGATACGATTATATTTTTTTTAACTTACAATTTAATGTTGAAAACATTGCTCTTACAGACATATATATATATATATATATATATATATATATATATATATATATATATATATATATATATCATACTTATTATAAAACCCAGGTTGTGTGTGTGTGTGTGTTCGTTTATATATTGGATCAGATTTGATACATTTTTCAACCGATTTCAACAAAACTTCACAGAACTACGTAAAATTACCTTGCAGTGGTTCTGACAGCGCCAAAAATGGGAAAAACACAATTGTTTTTGCACGAAATCAATTTGAAAACACAATTAAGATGAATCGCTGTCGCGAGAATGGCAGGGGATAACTCTTATCGAGTTTTACTTATTATAAAACCCAGGTTGTTTATGTGTGTGTGTGTGTTCGTTTATATATGCGATCGGATTTCCTATATTTTTCAACCGATTTCAATAAAACTTCACTTTTTTTTTTGGCAGGTAGTGTTTCTTATTGTCTTGCGCACTTTCTTCTTTATTTTTACATTCAGAGTGCTTTAAAAATTCCATTTACATGGCAATTGTTTATAATAAAATTCAATTTAATAATAAAATTCTATTCAATGTTTTTGTTGGACTTTGGGTTTGACCAACACGTAAAAAACAAACCCAAACAAAAACAACAACAACAACAACAAAACATGTGTGTCCGTCAACCTTAAACAATAATCTTTGTCAATTTTATTTTTCAGTCTTTATGATGTTTGATACTTGATCTATCTCTTACTGTTACATCCCCGTGCTACTGCTAGTATATATATATATATATATATATATATATATATATATATATATATATATATATATATATATATATATATATATATATATATATATATATATATATTTGATGGGGCACGGTGGAGTAATGGAATTGAAGATTTGTAGTGCCGAGTTCGAATTCCAGTCGAATCCATTACGTTCACTTACGTGCTAATATCTTTGGGAAAGTTATGAAACCTCTTATTCTCCTCCCAGCTATGGGTAAATAGTAGGACAGATTGGGTTCTATAGCCTTGGAGGACAACTGGAGTAGGAGTAGGGCAACTCTGAATTCAAAACCTGCGGAGGGTTGTTTGGGGAACTTCTAGCACATAGTGCACCAGGTCTCTCCATTGGGCCCTTCAAAACTGTGGATGGTTCTGCACAAAAAAATCTTCACAACTATAATCAAATCACATCTGCTGGCTGGCGTCTGAATGTCGGTTCCTAGAAACTGAGCTGCTTGACCCTCATAAGGGAGATATATATATATATATATATATATATATATATATATATATATTGAGAGAGAGAAGCTGAGAGAGAGAATGATAGAGAGATAGAGGGTGGTGTCCAGAAAAAGCGCTAGATTCGGAAAGTGAGACAACATTGAAACCTGGTGAAAAGTGATGTGACTGAAACATCAAGGAAAAATTTCTGTACATTTCCTCAAAATCCTCACGTCTGATATTCTTCTTTGGAAAATCGTCGATAACTTGACGCGCCAAAACAGTGAGTTGTTTAGCTATACGAGATGGGAAGAACGAAAGATGATAGTTGTGTGCAAATAACTTTTAAATGACGAGTCACCAAGATTGAGCAGCAATTAATCATAAAAGAACCAATCAGAGTTAAGTCAATGCACGAGATTTGACTGATTATTCAAGTCATGAATATTCAAGAAATTTGTTCAAGGTTAGTTAGGATCACTTAATCCTTAAATATAAAACAATGATTATAAATTTGCTGCTTTTTACTGGACAGCCTGTATATGTAAACAGTTACTTTTCTCGCACTACTCGCCTGTGGAACTCACTTCCGGCTCCACGCTTTCCAATCAACTATAATCTCCAAAACTTTAAGTAAATGTCAATCACTATGTACTGCCCTTCTGGTTACATTTTTATATATTCCCGCTCATTGGTAATGTTTCTGATCCTAATTATTCACAACCAGCAACCCCCTGTGTCTTAGTGGCTTTACTGCCTTTTTGCGGTGAAATCGATTAATATATATATATATATATATATATATATAGATAGATAGATAGATAGATAGATAGATAGATAGATAGAGATGGATAGATAAATGTAAATTGTTTCTTAGATAGATAAAAGATATATATATATATATATATATAAAGAGAGAGAGAGAGAGAGAGAGAGAGAGATGGATAGATAAATGTAAATAGTTTTTAGATTAGATAGATAGATAGATAGATAGATAGAGAGTGGAAAGATGAGAGAGAGGTAAATAGTAGATAGATAGATTGGTGAAACTGTGTCTGTGCAATGATGTATGCTTATATCTAAATATTGATATATTATGTTGTATCTGGGTGCATATAATGTGTATCCGCAAATATGATGTTTTTTTTTGTTTTTTTTTTCATTTCTTTTACCTGCCATATTTACACCGTTCTGTTTGAATGAGGAAACTGAGTCTCTTTGGCGGCACTTTAGCGATGAAGAATTTGCGATAAAGATCCGTGAAAAAGGAGATCTCCACAGAAAAAAAAAGACCTCAAGCTCTAAGATAAAAAAAAAAAAAAAAAAAAAAAAAAAACATATAAGCAAAAAAGAACAGCAAATAGGCAAAGAAAAAAAATGGCAGAAGTGTTATTTACTTTTTACACACTTTCGTCCCAAGTCGTTAACTGTTCCTTCTTTTTTTACGGTTTTATCTAACGAAACAACTAACAAACAACCTAGTAACAAAAAAAGTAATGGAAAAACTTGATGAACTTTTTGCAAGACGGTAAGCTTGGCTTCAGATAAAAATAAAAAAAAATACTAGTAAAGAAAAAGGCGCTTTTAAAACTAAATTTCTAGTATTTTTTCGTTTGTACTTAAGAAACAAAGATAAATAGTTTTATTCACAAAGGGAATAGAGTCTATAGTTATAATAGCTTATTGATAAGCATTTTATGTATTTTTTAATAAAATCGTCTGGTTTTCACAAACAAATATAACAGAGAGGTCTATCTGTGTCGCCAACCAAACACTTATTTATTGATTCGCATATGACGTGATAATATGGGACATATTTAGCTATTAGTACTGATATAACGGGAATTATCACACATCTCTTCACAGTCTTTATATTTATAAGACGACTGGACAGTTTTCTAGTTATTAGCACCCATTTCTGAATTGCGACTCGGAATGAGGAATTAGAGAGCCGAGTTCGAATTCCAGTCGAGTTCATTACATACACTTACGTGCTAATACCCATTGGGAAAGGCATGAAGCAATCTCTTCTCCCACCACCCAAGCTATTGGTAAATATCCGGGCAGACTGGGTTCTATTGCCTTGGGTGCCAACCGGTCTAGGAGAAGGAAAACTCTGAATTCAAATCTGTATTTAGCCCTGGCGAAGCGCTTACTATGCAGCTAAGGAAAGGATCGTTCGCATTGACTCGAGGGTCCCGACTACGGTCGATTATACTTTGTTTTAAGAAACTGGCATATCATTCTTAAATTGTTATGTTGGTGCAAAAATAATGTCGTTTTTTGACGTTCAACTTAACGTCAAAAAACGACATTATTTTTGCACCAACCTAATAATTAGCATCAGTTTTTTTTGTTGTTGTTTTTTTTTTTTTTGTCATGTGCTGTGTTTATACGAGGTATGAAAAAAAGTATCGGGACTGGTTCTATAAAAAAAAAAGAAGAAAACTACAAAACATAACAATTCAGCATTTACAATCCCTTCTGAAACAACAAAGCTTATCCAGCAATGTTTCGATTGAAGGAAGCATTCATGGAACAACTTTATGGTTGTGGCGAGGAGCTTTTAAATGCTCTTCATTGCACTTGATATTGTAAAGTAGTGGAGGGTCGGAGCCGCGGCAAATGTAGAAAAACTGGTAAGGGCGTGAAGGAATAAGACTTTTTGGAGATCACTCTGTCCTGAAGGGACAATAGACGTAGAATAATAATAATAATAATAATAATAATAATAATAATAATAATAAACCTAGATATCAACAACAAGATTAAGGAACTAGACTATGATGGTTACATACAAATACTTAGAAATTAATGAAAGAGACGTAATACAACATTCATTTGTGAAGAAAAATAACGGAAAAGAATATTATAGTAGACTGCATTTGATACTATAAAGCGAACTAAATGGGGCCAATAAAATGAAGGCCGTAAACGCATTACCTGTACTCATAGTAACATACAGCTTCAACATTATTAAATGGAATTTAAATGACATTAAAAGATTGGACGCTAAGACCAGCAAAATTCTTAACGAAATGAAGATGCACTACACGAAATCAGATGTTGAGAGACTGGACATACCAAGAGATTTGGGAGGCCGAGTTCTAATCCAACTTTAAATCTCTAAACCTCTAAAAAGCCACAAGAATCGAATTGGAAGCATAACTTACAAAAACCAATGACCCTCTGTTATAAATAGTAAAACACCAATTCCACTCCATCAACAAAGAAGTTGCTCTCATCGCGAAACAGATTAATGTACCTTAAATCCAACCAACAAAAAACAAAGTGAATACCATCTACGCAGAACGAGTAAAACAGAAAGCAAAACAACTTGGCAAAATGAAATTAAAAAAAAAATGTGTGGACAAGGTGTTGCATGGCATATACCTAAAAAGAATGAAAGAAGCAGATGTAGACCAACAGAAAACACATCATTGACGGAGAAGCTGAGAGAGAAGCCTTAATTATTGCAGCTCCAAACCAAAGCCTGGCAATCAGATTCTATCACTGTCACATAATCAAGGATGGAATTAATCCGAAATGCAGGATCTGCGGAAAATATGATGAAACTGGCGATCATATTATCTCAGGATGTCCGGAACTAGCAAAAAAATATAAATATATCCGCAGATATAACGTAGCGACATATGTGCACTGGAAGTTATGCAATAAGCAGAATATTTAATCTCTGAGAGATGGTATGAGCACCAACCAGATACAGTTACCCAAAATAATGACGTAATTATCCTCTGGGACATGTCAATTCAAACTGCCAGGGAAATAAAAGCCAACGGACCTGATAGTATCATAAAAAGACAAGAAATTCAGGAAGTGTATGCTTATTGACATAACAGTGCCATCTCAAAGACACACCTCCATAAAAATGATCGAGAAATTGTCCAACTTGGAGATCGAGATTAAAAGGATGTGGGGAATTAAGACTGAGACTGTACCAATAGTAATCAGTGCTCTGGACCTCGTGAGAAAAAGAATGGGCAGTTTTACTAACAGTTTAACATCAACATACAAGTTTCCCAGAAGATCGCCTTACTAGGAACATCCTATATATTAAGAAAAGTTCAATCAATTAAATGGCAATGCTCCTAAAGACCATATTTTGGACTCGGTTATGTATTATACAAAACAGGACACATAACATACATAAAATTGTAATAATGGTCCTAGTAGCCCAAATACAAAGAAATAAATACGAATACAATATATAGTACACGCAAGTGGAGCTCACACATTACGAAGTGTTTTATCTATGTAAAATATGTGGGATTTTAACCCTGTTGGTGTTTGCTTGATTTTTATAATAATTATCAGTTGAAAATGCCATGAAGTCATTTCTGACTTTAGGTCTCTGGTTGGGACCCGGAAAGAAATGAGTATACAACAGAAATCAAAGAAAATAATAATAATAATAATAATAATAATAATAATAATAATAATAATAAAACCGAAAGTTTTTGCTGATGCGCAATCTATAGAATATGTTCATACGTTTATATTCTCCAGGACAGCCATTTTTGTACAAAATTTTAATTCATAAGTCAGTGTCGTATTTTCATAGAAATGACACTTATATTGCTGTATTGACGTCTGATAAGAATATAGAATCGAGAATATGGCAGTTCAGGTCATTTTTCGAAAGTTCCATATTTCTGCGAAGGCGTGATGGATGTTCCGTCTGTCTTCATAAGTTGGACATTTCTATAAGTTCCTCTACTCCGATTGTCTTGTGCGATGGATAAATTGTCATCTAAATTGCGCAAAAATGTAAATAACACTGCCATCTCATTTTAACGAATATATTTACAAACATTGCACAAAAAATTAAATACTTGAAATACTGAGGAGTAAATTTATTCAATGAAAATCGCCACGGCCTCCAGACGACTACAGGATCTCATACATCTCTTGGAACGTTCTCCTTGTTTAACTTGGTGAAAAGTGCCATAATCCTTGCCTTTTGTTCATTTTTGTTTTTAAAAGGATTTTTTTTTTGTTGCTCACTCAACTGCGGCCCCACACATAATAATCAAGAGGGGTGTAGGAGGTAGGTGGCCAGATGCAAGGGGTGATATCGCAGAAATTGTCTTACAGCCATGACTGTGCTCTCCTGCTTGTGTAGCATGATGCAGTATTCTTTTGTCAAACATAGGGTTTCCAGCGGTCTCCCTCCGGACCCATGGCATTACTACCTCAAGGCCCATGATGTAGGTCTTTCGTGTTCAATCTGAGGCTCAAAATGATAAATTTCCAGGTACTTTTGCAATAATTATAGTAAGAAAAGCATTATTTTTTTAGATTCTCATTTTTTCTTCTTTTTTTGCAGAGTACTTATTGTCAGAGTACTTAAATTTTGTATCGAATTTATCGAATTTATACGGGCAGGAGCTACACAGTCTTCACTTTCCAGTCTTGACAGAATCGAAAAGCCTCTCCCTGTCCTTTTTGGAGATGAATGATTTTCCACTTTGCAACTCCGTCCTGACATACGAGACGTCGCAATTCTCTCACTCCTGTAGTTATCTTTCCCAGTCCTAACCATCATGGCTACGACCCACTACGCCAAGCAAGTAACGAACCATCGAAGATTATACTTTCCATATTCCCTTGCTGAAGCCTAAGTTACACTCAATCAGCTTTTTTCCCAGGAAACCTGCATTGTGAAACCGACTCCTAAGAGGCCATTTTCCAAATCACTACAAACTTAACCTGTTCAAATCAAGGTTTAACCCGTTATCTAACACACATATCCGCATAAGCTATACCTCTTACACTGTATTTCTCTTCCCCGAGTGGCCCATGGCCTTGTACCCAAGAGTTAAATAATTTATGGAATAAAATCTTTGTTTCATTAACTGAAACGGCAATAGATATTCGTTCTCTCAATGGAAATAAAACTTGCCACATTGTCTCACTAGGTTCAATCAGATTTTTTTCTTTTGAAGATCCCCATTCGATATGGACTACAGACCCCTGTCAATATTAAGCTTCTGCAAATAGTAGATAAGAAAAATCGAAAGCAAACGTCACTAGATTTAGCAAAATAGTTAAATAAAATTTACTCATAAAAACCTTCATAAACTTTGAAACGTTTACAAACTTGATCAGTAAGCCCCTTATCAGCTGACTGTTTCTGGCTTTAATCAAATATCTCCACTCTGTCCATTATGCTTACGGTCAAATCACGCTGAAACACCGGTTCTCGTTCGATCACCGAAGTTAAGCATCGTAGAGCCAGGTCAGTACTTAGATGGGGGACCCCCAAAGTCCAACCCTTACC